GGTAGCATATGGAGAAGAGATTATTTTTAGAGTTGTAAAATTGTATGATTGGTCTGGCTGAATATTTTTTCAATGATACAGAAAAAAATTAGTAGGGGACTTTTATAGTGTTTAGATATTCTTTAATAGATGAATATTTAAAGTCATTGCCTGTACATTGGGAAACTGGTCTATAACTGAGCCAAAGTGACTCCACCTCCAATCCAATTCTTTGCTTAAGTTTTCTTGCACTTTTCACAGAATGAGCTTACTTTCCAAACTTCTGTTAAGGCTGTTCCTCAGCATCTTCTTCTACCCTTAGCTTCCTAGCTTCTTCCTCAGGAAATATTTACAACCAAGGAAGACACACAGTTAAACAAGCCAATTCAATTTCCTCCTTGTTAGAGTCCTTGATCAGATTTTTTGCTTACTTCCTTTTTTTTGTCTAGATTTGATTTCAGACTGAATGGAGGGGATTGAGATTGCTCTCTTCATCAAAACCTCTGACTACACTGTTAGACCAGAGTCAGCAAACTGTAGCTCCAGGGTCAGGTCAGATTATAAAACAGGCTCACCAACAGCTTTACAAATGAAGTTTTATTGGAACATAGCCACATCCATTTGTTTATATTGTGTCTATGGTTGTTTTCACACTGACATATTAGAGCAATTACCACCAAGATCTCAGGACCCCCCAAAGCCTAAAACATTTACTAATGCCTTATACATAATAGGACTCACAAATACCTGTGAAAACATTTTTCTTTTTTAAGGCAAAAATTAGCTAGTGCCCAAATTAAGTTGGCTTGAATCCCTCAAAATAGTTTTCACACCAATTTTCCCCTATTTAAATGACTTGAGGTTCCAATTTATAGTTAGTAGAGTTGAAATTTAAGAATACTTCTGTGCACAAAGATGCCTGGTAAGAAAAATAGTACTTATTTTTTATTCAACCCTATAATTTCTGCTTTTGTGTCAGGCACTGTGTTTTGGCTTAATTCAAGTTCCAATTCTTTCTCTGGGTAACTCTGAGGATTTCAGTAAGTGGTTTGGAATCCTATACCATTTCAGACTCTGGAAAGAGTCAAAGTTATTACCTGTTGTTATTATCTCTTAGGTAGAAAGGAACTTTAAAATATCTAGACTCTCTAACCAGATTCAAAATGCATTTGTGTCATTGAGTATATGTGAATGGTTTAAATTAATCTGCATTTAAGATGTAGTTCTGTTGGGAGAGTACCCCTGAGACTGATCAAACTGAATGCTGTTTACCTGGTAAATATTTTGGTTCTCGGGAACTACTATTTAGGTCCTAGGTGTACACCACTGAGAGGGTAAAGATGGTTTCAGGTTCTAGACATTTTCTCTTCCTCACAGATGTTTTTGAAGATACATAGATTTGGTCTTCACAACTAGTCTTTACAAAGTGCTTCAATACAAATCCCACATGTCAGTTTTTTTTCTTTCGGCACCTTCTGAAATTTCATCCTTTCAATGCAGCTGTTTCCTTGCTGTGACCATGTCTTCACTCCCTTCTTGTCACAGATTTTAGCTGACCAACGATGAGAATTTGGAGTTCATGGGAAATAAATACTGAGTTCTACCTGGGGACCGTCTCCTTGGTCATGTTGTTGCACAGGCCCAGCACACTGCTCTTGTTACCTGCAGCTTATTGAATCCTTGCTTTCATGTTCATTTCTAGCGCCAACTACAACCACAACAGCCACAACAGCCACAACAACCACAAGAACCACAAGAACCACTACTCCAACAGCTACCACCACTACCGCTACTCAAAGAGAAGTGACCGTGGCTACTACACCTCGAAGAGAAACAACCAAGGCTATTATTCCAGCAATGACCGAAACTAATCAAACAAAAACTATGACTCCAACAACTACCGTCACTACTACTCCAATGACAACCACCGCTATTCCAAAATCGACTACCACTACGACTCCAGTAACAACTACCACCACCACTTCAACAATCACCACGGCGACCACTGTTCCAATGACAGTGAAGGCTCCGACCTCTGCCCTTCCAATGGCAACACCCACAGAGGACTTCCGGCCAGGTAAACAGATGTGCCTCTGACCCTAGAAGGCTTTAAAGGAGAGGAGATTGACCATGCAGAGCACTGTGTTAAGTCAGGTGTACAATCTAGGGCAAGGATTCTTAACAGGCTTCAGAACCTGGCTCTACAGAGTCTGTGAATCCCCTGTCCCCTGTTATATTCACCTTTTATATCTATAAGCATTTACAGAGTGAAGGAGACCTAAGGCTTTTTATCAGACTCTCAAGAAATTCATTAATACAAAAAAAAACCCCATATCACTGATCTTGGACATCTAAGGAGGATGACTCATTTGAACACAGACTTACAAGGAAAAAATAAGGATGCCAGAACAGGGCCTGGTGAATGAGATTCTGCCCTTTCAAGGAGCTCTGAATAGAGATCATTTAATCCATTCTGAAGCCTAACCCAACACATGAGGATAAGATTTCAGTGTAGTTAATGCTTACTCTATTTCCTGTGCCAGGAAACATGCTAACTGCTTTACAACTATTAACCCACTTAATTTTTATGACAACCCTACCCATTGTCAGTGTGATTCAATCCTACTTTATATTCCTGAGGACTGAGGCACAGAGTCTGAGTTCATTGTTGTTTCTGTTCATTCATATGAATAGAAAATGGTTGAGTCTAGATTGTGCCCATTAATTTGAATGTTGGCCTTTGCTGCTTTCTATACTGAACATAGAGTTTATGTTTGGATGAGTTTGTTCTGATCTGACATTCTCACTGGAAAAGCTTTCATACAATTACCCTGCTTTTTTCAGGGTGTCAGTGACTTACACATTTTGCTTCTAACCTCCTTTGTTCACGTATCAGAGAAATGCCATTTATACTGATGACAAAGTAAATATCAGATTTAAGTATTATGCAATTTAGAATGCATATATTTGTTTTTTCCAATTCAGGCTACAGTGTTCATACTTCAAATTTCTGTTAGATAATAGTTTAGGTTTAATATAAATGGAGAATATTTTTGAATTATAGGTGGGGAAATAACTTCTCATTCTGAGGACATGTTTGGGTTCAAAGGTTCTCTTTTTAGGATTAAAAAGATAATTTTATATGGAGATTCTCAAAGCCTCCACAACCCTTTGGCACTTTGAAGTGGCTCTGGAACTGAAGAGTAACAGAAATATCACAAACTCTTAGCCAAAATGTCTGAGGGAACACATTGGCTTCCCTTCACCCCTGTTGATCTATGTGTGTATTCAGTGAGGAGGGAGGGATCTGAAGGATTTTTCTTCAAGTTGAATTTGGAAGGAGGTCTTTAGGTTGAAAGTGGGATTTTTACAGCCATAAAAGTTTGCAAGAAAAATACACTAGAGCATCTGTTGACTTTTTCAATATTGATTTAGCTTAATAGTTTGTGCCTTCTGAGGTGGCTGGATTAGAGCTCCTGTTTTGAGGGCATGTGTAAGTTATGGCCTTTGTTTAAAGCAGAAGTTCAGAAGTAAAGTGTTGGTGCATATGTTCATGTGACCTCCTAGAGGGAGTATTAGTTGAGTCTTATACATGTCCTGATAGCTTCCTAGTGAGTTTGAGTTTAGAGTTGAACTTTACAGTATAGAAAGGATGTTAGCACTGGAACAGATCTGTAGCAGGGGCATTTGTATTTACATTCATTCCCTCTCTGTGTTCTGTGCCCCTGTCCATGCTAGTCTCCTAGAATACTCCTGAACTGATTGGCAGTAAGGTCCTAGGAGAACAGGAGAACAGGAAAACGCCCACAAGGACCAAAACTACAGAAAGAAGTTAAGAACAACAGGTCTTCTGCACAGATTTAAGTTGAATGAATACTGTGATCATTCGATTTTCTTTTATTGTCCTGTTCTTAATTCCTAAAGAGAGCCATATCATGCTACAAATTTGAGCATTAGACAAAAGCTAAACCAAAAAAAAAGAGAAAAGAAATCCACCAACAACAACAATGACCAAAAAATCCCATAAAAACAAAAATTTTCACAGAAAACAAAAGATAGCTCAGAACAAGAGAACAGGTAATGCTGAAATGTGAAGTCCATGGTGAGAAAGTGGAAAGAAGACCAATGAGAGGCAATAGGGAAAGTCTAGGTTTGGGAACTCTTGCTCAGCCAGCACCACTGCCTTGCTCTAAAGTTCTGTGATGCTCTCAGAGGAAGGGATGTAGAAATCTTATTAAGAGGCAACTGGTCAACTCTGCAGGTCAGGCGAGATGCTTGATAGAAAATAAAGGAGAGATTTCAAGAAAGGAGAAAGGAAACATAGCCCCGAGGATTCTCAGTAAAGCTTTCTGGTGAGAAATAGAAGATGAGTCAGATAACATAGGAAATCAGTCTTATGAAAGGAGTGACCAGAACACAACTGCAGAAGGAGCCAGGGTACCAGGAACATTGCTTTGAGGCTTTTTACCAAGACTCAGACAGTGGACAGTACTGTCTCCATAAAGTGACTTCAAGAAATTGAATAATCTCAGTATGTTTTCTGTGCTGGTCAATGTGTACATCTCCCTGGAAAGATGTAGATGGATAATTAGGAACTTGAATGAAGTCAGGAAATCAAGATCAGGATTCTTGTGAACAAGGTGAATTAGTGCCAGCCCCAAGGCCATGCTCCACAGAATTGAAATGTCATTGGTATGAATAAAAGTTTGGTATGAATAAAAGCTTAATTGAGTGTCCTATATAAGATGATCTGTTGATAGGTTTTAAGAGGATACTAAGAGTATAAAAGGAGAAATCATTCTGTCTATTGATAAGCTCTTCAGATCATTATCTAGGTAATATTTATTCATGATAATGAAATACATATACGGCAGGGTAATGTCTCAAGGCCATCTTTGAATATTTCTCTAAGAAAGAGTCAAAGGGTAATTCCTAATTTTAGTTTTGTTTGCTATTTTTTGCTTGAGTTGGAAATTTTCCCCCATGAATTGAACAACATTCTTCCATTCTTATCATTTCAGTACCTTCTTTATCTTCCCCAACACAGGCTACAGAAACCAAGCCTACCACCCCATATGAAACAAATAAAACTTGCTCACCATCGTACTCTTGCTCAACAGGTAACTTCAGTTTTTTTCCTCAAAGCCTGGGAGCTTTCAAATTTTGATAAATATTAGCACACTGTTAAGAGCACATATTCTATAATAACACAGGTCTGACTTGAGTACCTACAAAGGCTACTCCAATTAGCTATATACAACTTGAACAAATGTCTTACCCTCTTTGAATCTGTGTTTATCCTTTGTAAAATGGATGGAATTTTACTGATGTAGAATTCTTTCAAGGATTTAAATTATATAAAGATTGGAACATAGTTAAAAGGTAAGTGATATATAGACTGGCAACTATGACTGTCACTTAGCATGTCCAGAAATATGCACACCTGAGCAACATAGGTAGCTTGTAAGATTTGAGAACATCCACATGTGTAACTGCATTTCTCCAAATGAAATGAACCAGCCTTTTCTTTAAATTTATTAGTAGGTTTAATCCCCTGGACAGAGCCTTAAAAAGCTTAAATCCAAATTAATCTGGTCCAGACCAGACTAGTCACTTGTTGATGTTTCCCCTAAGCTCCAGAAACTACATAGAGCCACAAGGCCCTCCTGCTGCCTTGTTAAGCTCTCATTTCACATGGACACTTTGAGATTGGTTGAGAACATGGGCAGGAGAACCAAAGAGGCATGCCCTACTAGGATTGGGCTATTCCACCAGAAAAGTCTCCCTGCTCTCCCCAATTTTGGAAAATCCATATTCTTTTCAGATGTAAGATTTGTCTTATCTTTCCTGTGATGGCAAAAGGTGATGCTGAATCCTGTCATCTTTCCCAGCTAACTTGCTACCTGTGGTGGTAAATTTGGGGATGTGGCACATGCTGAACTCCTTTGCAATGCAGAGCTGGCTTATGTGTCCTTGTGCCTGTGAAGCATTCAAACAAGGTCAGGCTTTTCAAGACTCCTCGTGCATATGACTCATCATGCTAAGGAGCTGCCAATCTGTAGCAGACCCCCAGTATGGCCTACCTTTTGCCAATCATCCCTGGAAGCTGGTTAGTAGAAAATAGGCCTGCAGTAGTATGCACAGAGAGACCAATTCAATTGGGAATCAATCTCTAAAATATGCCATTAAAACCTGGTCAAGGTAGAGATTTTCAGAATGGAATAGACATTGGAACAGCTGTGTCCCCACAATTTCTGTGACCGCTGTCATCTTGGCAGTGCCTCTGAGGTTCTCCAGCCAAATCCTCACAATGCCCAAGTCAGACTTCAGTGGGTTAAAGCCTCACAAAACAAAGAATTTTAGTATGGAAGGAATTTTGGTCATCATATGGCCTGCCACCCACCTTTTAACAGACAGATGTACCAGCAAACTGTCACTTGTTGTGGTTGTTCATTAGCTACGTCATGTCTGATTCTTTGTGGCCCCATAGTCTACAACATGCCAGGCTTCCCTGTCCTTCACTATCTCCTGGAGTTCACTCAAATTCATGTTCATTGAATTAGTGATGCCATCTAACCATCTCATCCTTTATCACCCTTTTCCTTTTGCCTTCAGTCTTTATCAGCCTCAAGGCCTTTTCCAGTGAGCCGGCTCTTCACATCATGTGGCCAAAGTATTTGAGTTTCAGTCCTTCCAATGAATAGTCAAGATTGATTTCCTTTAGGATTGTCTGGTTTGACCTCCTTGTAATCCAAGGGACTCTCATGAGTCTTCTCCAGCACCACAGTTCAAAAGCATTGATTCTTCAGTGCTAGTCTTTATGGCCCAGTTGTCACACGCATACATGACTACTGAAAAAAACCAAAGCTTTGACTCTACTCACCTTTGTTAGCAAAGAGATGTTCTGGTTTTAATATGCTGTCTAGGTTGGTCATTGCTTTTCTTCCAAGGAGCAAATATCTTTTAATTTCATGGCTGCAGTCACCATGCACAGTGATTTTGGAGCCCAAGAAAATAAAATCTGTCATTGCTCCCCTTTTTTCTCCTTCTATTTGCCATTAGGTAATGGAACTGTATGCCATGAGCTTAGTTTTTCTTTTTTTTCCTCTAAGGCATTTTATTTGTATGTATTACATCTCTAGAAAAAGAATCCAAGGATTTTCCCTCCTGTATGTTTTCATCTTGCTTCTTCATGGCCCATGATGCCAGCTGAGGTTGTCAGTACAATGAAACCAAACTGACGGGATGGGAGCAGGTTATTCTGCCATTTTTCTAGATCTTTGAGTTGCACATCAAATCTGGGGCTGATCACTCCACACTTATTTAGCCTGCCTGTGAGGTTCACAACAATTTTCCCAGCCCTGTGATCATCAATGATTTCAAATTCACCAATGTAACCATGCTTAATCATCACTGTTAGAAACCTGACAATGACCTTGGAGCACGGCCGAATAAGGACCTGGCATTTGCCTCTCTTTCAGCGTTGTTGATACTCTTGAGAGCATCAGCCAGGACATTCATGCGCACCATTCTGGCCGCATGGAAAGACGGAAAGAGGGAGCTTAGTTTTTCAAGTGTTGAATTTCAAGCCACCTTTTCAATCTCCTCCTTCACCATTATCAAGAGGCTCTTTAGTTCCTTTTCAGTTTCTGCCATTAGAGTGGTATCACCAACATATCTGAGATTGTTGCATTTCCCCTGGCAATCTTGATTCCAACTTGTGATTCATCCAGTCTGGCAGTTTATATTATTTACTCTGCATACAAGTTAAATAAACAGGATGACAATGTGTGGCCTTGTCATACTCCTTCCCCAATTTTGAACCAGTCAGTTGTTCAATGTCCAGTTCTAACTGTTGCTTCTTGACCAGCATACACATTTCTCAGGAGACAGATAAGGTAGTCTAGTATTCCTGTCTGTTTAAGAATTTTTCACAATTTGTTGTGATCTACACGATCAAAGAAGTCAAGATCAAACCAATCAATCCTAAAGGAAATCAACCATGAATATTCATTGGAAGGATGGATGCTAAAGCTGAAGCTCCAATACTTTGTCTACCTGATGTGAAAAGCCGACTCATTGGAAAAGACCCTGATGCTGGGAAAGATTGAGGGCGAGATGAGAAGGAGACAGCAGAGGGTGAGATGGTTGGATGACATCACTGACTTAATGGACATGAGTTTGAGCAAACTCTGGGAGATGGTGAATGACAGGGAAGCCTGACATGCTTCAGTCCATGGGGTCACAAAGAGTCAGATACGACTTAGTGACTGAACAATAACAACATAATCAAAGACTTAGCATAGTCAATGAAGCAGAAATAGTTTTTCTGGAATTCCTTTGCTTTCTCCATGATCCACCTAATGTTGGCAATTTGATCTCTGGTTCCTCTGCCTTTTCTAAACCTAGCTTGGAACGTCTGGAAGTTCTCAGTTCATGTACGGCTGAAGCCTAGCTTAAGGATTTTGAGCATAACCTTGTTAGCATGTGAAAGGGTTATCCAAGTAATTAAGACCTTTTTGTATCATTCTTCTTTTGTATCTATCATCATTCTTGCCAACGCTTTTTAATCTCTTCTGTCAGGTCCTTACTATTTCTGTCCTCTATCATGCCCATTCTTGAATGAAACGGAGAAAGGGAAGACGTACCCAACTGAAAGGGAAAGCTATATCCAACTGAATGTAGAGTTCCAGAGACTAGCAAGGAGAGATAAGAAGGCCTTCTTAAACGAAAATGCAAAGAAAACTGTCATACATTATCTCATTTAATTCTTTCAGGGCAGGTTTATTTCTTGCCATTGCCAGACTAAGGAGCCTGTTCAGTTCTGTTTTGGAGACAGACAGCCTTCAGTACAACTGCCAGTTACTAGCTGTGTACCCATGGGCAAGATGTTGCATTCCTCACTGCAAGTTTGTGAGGAATGAAAAATAAGATGTTTGAAAAGTCCATTGCATGGTGTCTCTCCTCACATTGTTCCTATTGTTATATAATAGCATAATAGTAATAGCTGATATTTGTCTAACATAGTGTTAAGCACCTTATATGCATCATCTAATATGACTGCTTTATGAGATGGGTGCTATCAACAGCTTGTAGTTCTAACTCTTACCCTAGCTAGAAACATAAATATATACATTTATGTGCATGCATACATAAATGTGTATGCAAAGGACCTCGATCAAGGTCACATTGTTGAGGGACATTGTCAACATTGAAGTCAAGTTTTATCTTACTCAGGTCCATGCTGCTTTTAGAAAATCACCCATTCTATACCTGAAACACTTACCTAAGTTTATAATATAAGTCATGCACAAAGCCTAGACTGTAGATATTGTCTTTGGCTCTTCAGGAAGTACTGTCAGAATAATTAAAATGTAAACACAGTAATGTAACATGTAAAACTTTAGAGTGGATATGGTGGATTCATTTTCACTGCCACTGCAAAATGACATGACAAGAGTTTTGTTAGTAGTTAAGGATTTTCTAAGACCTTCAGTATTTTCATTGGATGAGAATGTAACTTGAGTAGTGGTTATAAACTGAAGCTCTTGTCCCGTTCTATAGTTGGAAACTTCAACCATATCAGGACTACTTCCTCGGCTGTAAAATAGGATTAAGAAAATTGGTATAAGAATATAAAGGTCTTGGTATATAATAGATACTCACTAAAGAAAGAATCCTGTGTCTGACCTATATGTCAGATAGGTTGCTTAGGAAGGTCAACAGTATATGTTCTGTGTAACAAAAGGCATATTTCAAAACAGTATTAAAATTTGAACATTCAAAACTTTAAAGCATAATATTCTTTTATATCAAGATTTTAGGTACATAGCATCCGTGTGTGTGTGTGTGTGTGTGTTAGTTGCTCAGTTGTGTCCAGCTCTTTGTGACTCCACGGACTGTCCCACCAGGCTCCTCTGTCCATGGAACTCTCCAGGCAAGAATACTGGAGTAGGTTGCCATTCGCTTCTCCCGGGGATTATCCTGACCTGGGGGTTGAATCCGGGTCTCCTGCCTTGCAGGCAGATTCTTTATGATGAGCCATCAGGAAAGCCCATATAGTATCCTTAGAAATTCTGCATATATCCTCATATCACATTCGTTTTGGGGCTGATGTAGCATATTTTCTAAAGCTCTTTTGGATCAGCATCTGGGCACACTAGCACATAATGTAGGAGTTGGATGATGCCTGTTTGGGATATCTGAATGCATTTCACTCACAGTTTAAATGTAAAGCCAAAGTAACATCTGTTTTGAAAAGTGTGGTTCTGCTGTTTGTTGTGCAGTGGCCTCTGAGCACTCACTGGCAGTTTCATAGCTGTCATGAAAAAACTGGTTACCTACCTTAAGTGGTAATCTTTAACCTAGTTCTGAGAATGGGCCACTATAACTTCTCAAAAATTGTAGGTAAACATTCTGTAAACATATACTTGTTCCCATAGATGGAAAAAAGGGGGTCCATTTTGGAAGGGTGGGTGATGAAAATGGTTAAGAAGCATGGGTTACAGGTTAAATTAAATAATGTTAGTTATTTGATTTAACTCCTGCAGTGCCTACAGGATTTGGCCATATGATTATTCAAGTTTTTATTCATTACCATAAAGCAATGTGAATATATTTGGTGTTTGCAATGAAAATTCAGTATTTTTATAATTCTAATAAATTTTCCTTCTTGTTGAGCAGATGGGAATGACACTGTGACAGAGTCTCCAGATCCCCTTTGGCGTTGCTATCAAGTTGTAAGCATACTCCTTCCTACTTTATTAGCCTGATTCACTTGTATGTTTCCTTGGAAGCAAGTTACGTTAGAGAGTATTATTATAAATCTTGTTCACAGTTTATTATTTCTAATTCATAAAATAAAGGAAGAAAAGAATTTGACTCTTAAATAGGGATGCTTTAATTAATTAAAAAAACATATAGATGCACTATTTTGTTAGAAATATCCAAAAAGTGATATTTTACTCCACACAATCACTCTACAAAATGTCTCCTGGCCATAAAATTAGAAAAAAGAGTGAATTAATTCAAGGATAGTGAATTAAGTTTACATATCAAGGAAGACTTCGATCATCATTAGAGAAATGGCATGCCTTGAATTGACATGGTGGAATGGGAGCCATCCCAACCAAAAATATTATGCAAATCAAAGTGTGCTTGCTTAAACTTAGGCCTCCTAATATCTTTTTCCAACCCAATTGTATCCTCCTATTGAGAAGTTTTGAGGCCACTACTGAGTCTTTCTATATGTAATCCTCCCCATTTGTTGCTGGTGTTTAGTCACTAAGTCTTGTCCAATTCTTTGAAACCCCATGGATGGTAACCTGCAGGCTCCTATGTCCATGAAATTTTCCAAGCAAGAATATTGGGATGGGTTGCCATTTCCTTCTCTGGGGAATCTTCCACACCCAGAGATCAAACCCATGTCTTCTGCTTGGCAGGCAGATTCTTTACCAATGAGCCACTTATGAAGCCCTGATCCTCCCCATATGAGGACTCTTTAAGGTCCTAAGGTCTTGAACAACATTGTGATTCTGTAAGATATTCTTATACATAGTTTGAGAAAAAATAAAAGGAGCTGTAGTCTCCTGATGTTCATTAAAGTCTGATCTTTGTGAGTAAGTTAGAAGAATTTACCAATAGAATATTTTCTTTTGGCTCACTTGGTTAAAAAACTTTTCCTTTTACTATGTGCAAGTAACTGTTAGAAGCAACAAACAAAAAGAGTTTAGGTATGAGAGTGATCCTGATTGCAAGTGGTGAGAAATTGCAACATGGCCATTGTAAGAGAAAGTCAAGCTCAGAAGAAGTGGAGTTATTTAGTGTGAGATCAAATGGCTTTATGTTGCACACATTACTGACAATGATAACACTACCATACAGGAATGATATAAAAATTTTAGCCACTCTCACCAATCAGCTATGGGCACTGATTGATCTGATGAATATGGATAGAATTTGTTTATATCTATTAAATAGCAGAACTGCCACTGTGTAAATGACTGTAATATTGTTATACAGCTAGATTTATGCTGGATTTAAAAAAAAAGAAACAAATATTCTGAATGGTGGGACTTTTTTTTTTAAGCAAGTCCACAATAGGCAGTAGCAAAATTGTGGGCTTTTTGTGTCTTAACTCTGAAGATGTCAGTGTCTCCCAGGTATCCTAAAAACCAAAGAGCATATATTTTGTCCTAGTAGTAAATCAATTTCCTGAACTCCACCTTAAAGAGAGAATTGAACAAATACATGAAGATGTATAAGAAAAGATGTTCTTTGCTGCTATTTATAACCATAAAAATGTTTCAAATAACCTTAATACTCAATAATAGGGATTAATTAATTAGTCAATTAAACATGCCCACTTATTGCTATTAACAATTGTTGGCACCACAGTGTACTTACTGACATGAAAAGACAGTGTCAATTGATAAGTGAAAAACTAACTTTTAAAATAATGTAGGGACTTCCCTGGAAGCCCAGTGGTTAAGACTCCACACTTCCAATGCAAGCGTTCGCAGGTTCCATCCTGGCTGGGGAACTAAGATCCCACGGGTTGTGTAGTACAGCCAAACAAATGTGTATATATATTTTTAAAAACATCAGAACTAAAAAATATATCAGAACTAAAAAATGTGTCAAACTTACATGAGAAAAATTTTTTTTTGTTTTACTATCATAGGAATAGTATATATGGGACTACCTTATTCATTTTTAAAAGTATTTATAGTTTATATATTATAAAACAGGCTCATTTGAAATGTACAGTTTGAGTTTTGACAAATGTATACACCTCTATAAATACCATCACAAGCAAGATATACATTTCCACCATCCCCAAATACATTTGAATTTTAAATTGTCTTAGAATTTCGCTGTATGATTATAACTTCAGATCATTTGGTCTCACCCCTCCTGATAAAGAACTAGCCAAATGTTAATAAATATATCTGGGTAATTTATTTTAGGAAGTGTGTTCTACCCATAATTCTAATAATATGGTTTTATTCTGTCATTTTTTATTTTGTTTTTGATCTGCTGATGCTTCTTTAGGGGCTGGTACAAGGTCCTTGGATGAGCACCAACCAGGGAGTCTCCTTTGGAATCTCTGTTGCTCTCTTGGTAGTATTGCTCATGTTTGTGGTATTCTGGATTAAGAAAAGTAAGTCACCTCAGGACTGTGCCCACAGGAGTATTCTTGAGCCAAACTACCTGTAGCCCTACATTCTATATGATTTTGGTTTCACATAACTTCCTTGGTTCTTACCTTGTTGTTTTTTATTTTTATTTATCTTAAAATTATCTTCCCAGTGAAGAGAAACATGATACTTAAGTTCTCCATGGGAGAAATTAAATATGGAGAATTAAGGATTGGTTAGGTAGAGTTGGGATTTGGATATCAACAAGCCAGTGTAATATACAAGATTTGTTCACTCCTCCTTTTCCCCTTCCTTCAATAACCAATTTTTGTTCCTATAGAGGGTGAAATTGCTGAGAGTTTTACAACACCCACTTAACAGAGGAACCAAATGAGCCATTAGAAGGATACATGATTTCAGGACTAAGAAGAGAACAAAGGGTTTCTCAAGGCAGCCACCCAGGGCCTCCTGGTGCCCTTCCACCAGTGTGCGTGTGCGCGTGTGTGTGTGTGTGCGTGCGTGTGTGTGCGTGTGCATGTGTGTGTGTGCATGTGCATGTGTGTGTGTGTGTGTGTGTGTAAAACCTGTCATCTATAGGAGAAACACAACCTCCCATTTTTTTGCAATGAAATATGATTATATTAAAGTAAGCTAGGTCATGTGGGTGAATGCATTAAACCTAATAATCACAAGATACTTTCCACTAAGGGGTTTATTTGATTCCTAGAGATTCAAGAAAAGTTATCTGGAGTTATCAGGGTAGAGCCCAGATTGATTTGTTTCCCCTTCATTTCAAAAATATTCTTTCCTCGCAATTAATTTTTTCAGTGTCTGATATCTGTACCTATTTTTCTCATATTAAGGTAATAACAGTAATAATATACTTATTGGGGAAAAAAATCTCATGAACTCTTTAGCTTATATGTTTAATTTTCTCTTCATTTCTTATCCAATTTAGAATATCTTTGCCTGGATAACAAGGTGGAGCTACTACGGTAAGTTTGAAAGAGTTAGTGTCAATGCCTTTTGGTATTCTTATTCTATTAAAAATAAGGAAAATGCCTCTGCCTCTCTCCTCTTTTCCTTCTGAGTTCTCCATTTTGTACTCTGGATTCTGAAAAATCTAGCATATAGAGGATCTCCATTGCTGTCCAACCTTCCAGTGATGATTTTAATGACGTGATGAGAACACAGGTCTGTGTTTTCTGCAAATGTCCTAGAACTGTACAGAAACAGCACCTGAAACCAGACCTTTTAGAGCAAGAGAACTAAACCAGATTTTGTTTCATGGGCCATTTGAGTGGGTTGTTTGGTTTGTTATTTGATTTCATTCATTGCTTTGTTTATTGCATGTCTATTGAATCCCTATTATATTCCAAAGAGATGAGCAGAACAGACTGAAAACATGTACATAAATAAGCAGGGCACTTATAGAACTTCCAGAGAAATACCATAGGGAATACAGAGCAGGGCTATAGGCTATGTGAGTGAGCCCCAAAGGTGCAGAAGGCAGCTCTGCAAAGATCTGGAGGAGGACACCTCCAGGCTGAAGACCCACAAAGCTGGGATGTTCCTCCAGTTCTCCAGGGTCCCACCATCCCATATTGTTCCATACCCAGCCTGCTGTGTTCAATTACATTAGTTGTGTGGCCTCAAAAACATTTGAATTTACAACTGTGTAAATCTACCCCACTGCCCAATAAGAAGTTAAATCCTCTTTGTATGCATCCCTGTAGTCATTTGCCCAAACACCTGTAAAGGTGGGAAACCACTACCTACTTCCAAATCCAAATAGCCTGCTTTGTCTGGTCCAGCTTGGGCTTTAGGCAAAGTCTTTCTTTGATAAAATCCATCCCTCTTAAGCCACCATCCATTATTCCTAGTTCTCTTTCACTGGATGTTTGTACACAGTCTTTCCTATACTTAAGTTAATCACATGAGCCAGTCCACAGAACATGCCTTCAACAATGACCGACATATTGAAACTGTTCCATAAATGTTGACATTTATTATTGTAGGCATGCCCTTCACATCAATAAACCTGTGAGACAGGCAGTAGTATTACTCTTAGTTTACAGTTTGGAAAACAAGTTTAGAGATGTTAAGTAATATCGAAAGTCACATCACACAGCAGTTAAAAGACTCCAAGTGTAAGTCTCCTAGAGTCCAAAACTCAGACTTATAGAAGTTTTTGACTATCTGCTTCCAAAAATGGAAGAAAAATAAATACTCCCTATAGGCAGAAAAAAATGGAAAATAGCATCCTCTTAGTCCTTTTACTGTTTAGATTTTTTAAATTTTCACTTTTTATCCCCTAATTAGAAAAGAAAATATTTATTGTATAAAATACCTTATAACACATAAAAAAAAATAAAACAAAGCTGAGCGTTTCCTCATCATGTAATTTTGGGGGCAGCTATTAATTTATCACATTGACTTATTTTGAACCACAGATACCTAAACTGTTTCCACACATATGTGACTAATCTGTTTAAAGATCAGAGCTGAGTGAAGATTCAGTGCATTTAAAACCATTTCTGGGCAGGCTTAAGTAATGAAAATAGTGACTGCATACAAGTTCTAAAAAAGTAGCTGTATCAAAGCCCCACAAATTACCTTTTTGTACCCTTGATGTGTGAGTGTACAAGCTATAAAAATCATCTAACCCATAGCTTTCCAATTTTGACCATTAAGACACAGTAAGATTTTTGACTCCATGATCTAGTATAAACTTAGATGCAGCAATGCTATTTTATTATATCCAGTATGCTCTGATATTTTGTATGCTGATATATATTTATCTTAAATATAGGACATAGACCACTAAATAGATTTAATTTAGCCTTCATTCAGAAAAACACCAACCAAACCATTCCCTGGCCATCTTTGTGAATGTGCATCCTGGTTTAATACTTCATCTTGATGTCTGATATTTGTCTTCTTACATTTTCAATTTTTGTTTTCTGTTACATAAGTCTCTTGAAGGAGACCAGTCTGAGATTTTGAAATGACTGCTGAGGATTTCTACCACTTTATTAAACAGACTTTCCTAAAACTTCATATTCAGAAAATCTGGAAGCTTCTATTGACTTCATAGGCTGTCTGAATGATGCTCTAGGAAATGCAAATACCCAGTATTGCCTGAACATAAAGAACTGTGCTGCTCATCCTTGAGAAGTGCTTTTCTCTTAATCATGTTATTCTTTCTGCAGTGTGATTCCTTTGAAGGAGTCTCATATTGGAGCTTTGAAACATGCAGCTCTGAAGCCTATCCAAGGAGAAGATAATGCCTACATTATTGATGACTCTCACTAAGTCGTGGGCCCAGATTCTAAGGCATTATGTAGAAGACAGTGCCCAGATATCACCATGTCAGAATTCCTCAAGTAGCAGGACAATTTTTCCGTCAGTTTCTGATGACATTCCATGGAGTCAAGAACATTGGGTAGAGTGAGTCTAGATCATCTGTGCACAATCAACCTCTGTCACACAGTCCTAATTTTTTTACTAAAACTGAATCAATCTTTCTCATCATTGCAGAAATCTCTCTAAAACATGAAAGGTACACTTTAGAATTGTACATTCTCTTTAGACCCTATGAATCCTGTTATCCATTGAGAATTCTCATTGAGGACACAGAAAACACACTTTGACCTTGGTTAATAAAGCTGTGGAGAGGAGCTGACCATAACTTAAAATCAGCAAATTTAATTTGGTACTTAAAGGACTTAACATGGAAGCATTTCATGATTTTTTTAAATTGACTCCAAATGTTATATTCCTTAGGACATCAAGGGTTTCAAATCATGGGAGTGTACAGGTTTCTATTTACCCATTGGGAAAATAGAAGTGAATGTGATTTTGCCATTATAGGTAGATCCAGTTTCTCAGGGCTCTGGAAATAGAAGGCGTTAAGTGCTTTCCCTGGGACCAGAATGGTATTTTAGCAGTTAGAAGAAGGTAGGGTAGTGAGTGGTCCTTGGAGACACCAGGGTAAGAAAATCAATTGCCATGTGATTTACACTGTTTCTGCTGCATTGGCGCTACAATTCTAGGTGTTTATGTAGACAATTGGTAGGCTCTGATGGAATTTTAGAATGAGGCAAGGCAGAAATAAATACAAGGAAAGAAAAGAGGGAGGGAGTAATAAAAGAGGCTTTCTGTTTGGGAAAAGCCAGTTTGCAAATATAATAGTCTTCTTTGATCATGTTACCAGTTTCCACCAAAAGGCTAAAACATCCTTAAACCACTTCAGTTCTTAAAATTATATTGGAAAGATAAAGGGTCCTTTCCATATATAATCAATTCCTGTGTTATATCTTTTGCACAACTCAATTAAATTTTTGTTTTTTCCAGAAGAGTTCGTCAAAGACAAAAAGTAAGGCTGGTTTTAGTCACTTTGAAGTATTTTTGCATGAACAGTTAAGAAGGCTGGAAATTAATTTCACTTTGCATAAACCCTGAAATAACTCATTCTTGAGGTTTCTGTTTTTGGTTTTGGTGGGGGGAAGGGTAGTGGTGTTCAGAGCTGCTCACACCAAAGTGGTCCATGAGGGCTGGAAGGTTGTCTTTGAAGGCAATGTTTTTTAAACTTCTGCAAATTTCACAATTTGTATGGAAATACAAAAAACCTCGAATAGCCAAAGTAACCTTGAGAAAGAAGAATGGAACTGGAGGAATTAACCTGCCTGACTTCAGACTATACTACAAAGCCACAGTCATCAAGACAGTATGGTACTGGCACAAAGACAGAAATATAGATCAATGGAACAAAATAGAAAGCCCAGAGATAAATCCACGAACCTATGGTCACCTTATCTTCGACAAAGGAGGCAAGGATATACAATGGAAAAAAGACAACCTCTTTAACAAGTGGTGCTGGGAAAACTGGTCAACCACCTGTAAAAGAATGAAACTAGAACACTTTCTAACACCATACACAAAAATAAACTCAAAATGGATTAAAGATCTAAATGTAAGACCAGAAACTATAAAACTCCTAGAGGAGAACATAGGCAAAACACTCTCCGACACAAATCACAGCAGGATCCTCTATGACCCACATCCCAGAATTTTAGAAACAAAAGCAAAAATAAACAAATGGGACCTAATGAAACTTAAAAGCTTTTGCACAACAAAGGAAACTATAAGCAAGGTGAAAAGACAGCCCTCAGATTGGGAGAAGATAATAGCAAACGAAGCAACAGACAAAGGATTAATCTCAAAAATATACAAGCAACTCCTCCAGCTCAACTCCAGAAAAATAAATGACCCAATCAAAAAATGGGCCAAAGAACTAAACAGACATTTCTCCAAGGAAGACATACAGATGGCTAAAAAACACATGAAAAGATGCTTAACATCACTCATTATCAGAGAAATGCAAATCAAAACCACAATGAGGTACCATTACACACCAGTCAGGATGGCTGCTATCCAAAAGTCTACAAGCAATAAATGCTGGAGAGGGTGTGGAGAAAAGGGAACCCTCTTACACTGTTGGTGGGAATGCAAACTAGTACAGCCACTATGGAAAACAGTGTGGAGATTTCTTAAAAAGCTGGAAATAGAACTGCCATATGACCCAGCAATCCCACTTCTGGGCATACACACCAAGGAAACCAGATCTGAAAGAGACACGTGCACCCCAATGTTCATCGCAGCACTGTTTGTAATAGCCAGGACATGGAAGCAACCTAGATGCCCATCAGCAGACAAATGGATGAGGAAACTGTGGTACATATACACCTTGGAATATTACTCAGCCATTAAAAAGAATTCATTTGAATCAGTTCTAATGAGATGGATGAAACTGGAGCCCATTATACAGAGCGAAGTAAGCCAGAAAGATAAAGACCACTACAGTATACTAACACATATATATGGAATATAGAAAGATGGTAACAATAACCCTATATGCAAAACAGAAAAAGAGACCCAGATGTATAGAACAGACTTGTGGACTCTGTAGGAGAAGGCGAGGGTGGGATGTTTCAAGAGAACAGCATCGAAACATGTATATTATCTAGGGTGAAACAGATCACCAGCCCAGGTTGGATGCATGAGACAAGTGCTCGGGCCTGGTGCACTGGGAAGACCCAGAGGGATCGGGTGGAGAGGGAGGTGGGAGGGGGGACCGGGATGGGGAATACATGTAAATCCATGGCTAATTCATTTCAATGTATGACAAAAACCACTGCAATGATGTAAAGTAATTAGTCTCCAACTAATAAAAATAAATGGAAAAAAAAAGTTTTTAAAGAGTAAACTTAATAAATTGTTCCAGAGCATAAAAAAATAAATAAAATAAAATAAACTTCTGCAGAGTTGTAGAAAATTAATAGGACCGCTGAATAAAGGTTATGTGGGCAATGAAGAGGTGATGCTAGTGGTAAAGAACCTATCTGCCAATGCAGAAGACATAAGAGACGTGGGTTCAATCCCTGGGTTGGGAACATACTCTGGAGGAAGGCATGGCAATCAACTCCAGTAATCTTTCCAGGAGAATCCCATGGACAGAGGAGCCTGGCGGGCTAGAGTCCATAGGAGCGCAAAGAGTCAGACACGACTGAAGTAACTTAACAACATGTATGCATGAGTGATGAAAATGGCTAAACATTGCAGACTAGTTTTCGTAAATGGAACCACACTGATCTGTTTTAAAAAATTATGTTCCAACTACGATGTTTGTTTTTTTTTTTTTAATTCAAGGCAACATGCACAAACATGGAGATGTCAAATTAAAGCCCAGATTTGTAACTTGTCTGGAAACATTGGGCAACATCCCTATGCAGCCAGAGCTCCATTAGATGGCACCACATCCCTCAGGCCTTGCCTCGCCTGCAGCCTCATGTTTGTTACCTGCTTTGCTACTTGTGGGGCTTTGAATTTATGATTTGTGCTCTCTTCTCCAAGTCCTTCCTAAAGTTTGTGATGGCACATTACAAGTTCTGGAAATCTGCTTAACTTTGTTTAATCCAGCATTTCCAAAATTTGTTGGAATGCCGTGAGCACAGTGACTACTGGCATGCCCAGTAGCATTCTGGGAAACAAGACCTGGGGCATGGGAGAAGGCAGGCTGTACTCAGAATTAGAGACAGGCCCTGAGCTCTCATCCTAAAGTGCACCAGGAACGTTGGATGACATTAGAGTAAATCATAGTATATTTTAAAATGAAGTATAGTTGATTTACAATGTGGTTTTTTTTTTTTTTTTTTGCGTCTATGAGAGTTATTCCCACACTTACATGGGTGTACGGTGGTAATTTCAATGACATGATATTTGTGAAAAAATGAAAGTGAAAATCACTTCAGAAATACAACGGTTTTTCTTCTGTTTATAAAGTTTCTTGTGATAGGAAATCTAGCATCAGTGCTCAATAAAGAATTTCAGTGGTATTGCATTCACAGGTTTCTCATTATATGGTCCCTCTTATTATTTTTCTGAATAACAGTTCTGTTTTAGAAAAATTCATATGGGTAATTTGGCTATCATTTTATGCTATAGAAAAATTTGACAATAACTGAGGGGGAGAATGGATTAGAGGGAAGGAACGGGAGGTATTTAACACTAAGTTAACATTAATTTCTTTCCTTTAAAAATGCCAATTAAAGAGAATGTATTAATTTTTTTTTTTGAGACCATTGAGATTCCATTTTCTCCTGTTGGTCTAGGGACATTAAGACACTGGTATAATTAAAACCATATATTTGAACTTAGGAAATTTTGCTCTTCTTTAAAAGCAGAAGAACCAGTCTTTCACTGATGGCTGTGAAGAAAATTTTGTCAGTCCTTGAAAGCATGAGGGACTCCTCATCACAAGTTTCATTTGTATGCACACTCATTAATTGAACACATTTTTGTTTTCATTTTCTAAAGTGACATATTTTCTTATCCTCACCATTTACTTGAGGCCAGGCATCTTCAGCCTGCTGTGGGCTCTCAGGACAAGGGCAAATGAGTCCAGATTTGAGAGGCAAGGTGCCTGACACTCCTCTAGGTGCTGAGGTGGAGCAGGGTACAGCCCTGAACTCCAGTTCCCAAGGAGCTCCATTCAGTGGGAAAGAAACCCCAACACCATCTGCTCTGGTACTGATGATGAGAAGGAAAAAGCATAACACTGCTGCTGCTGCTGCTGCTAAGTCACTTCAGTCGTGTCCGACTCTGTGCGACCCCATAGACGGCAGCCCACCAGGCTCTGCCATCCCTGGGGTTCTCCAGGCAAGAACAATGGAGTGGGTTGCCATTTCCTTCTCCAATGCAGGAAAGTGAAAAGTGAAAGTGAAGTTGCTCAGTCGTGTCCGACTCTTAGCGAC